CTTTGAGGACCTTGATAGAAATGTAGTGGAGTGAAAAGTACAATATTTGTCTTTCAAATGTAGTGAAGTTAAAGTCATAAGTTCCCAGAAAAAATAATACTCAAGTAAAGTACAGATACTCAAAAAGTGTACTTAAGTACAATACTCAAGTAAATGTACTTAGTTACTGTCCGCCTCTGCCTGGTTTAGCTGGTCCGTTTAAAGCAGTGAGTGTTCAGATGTTTCTGATTGATATATTTACGTTTACATTAGCATACGTCCAAAATGAGCACATAACGCTGCGTGTGTCATATGCATTGTCATCAATAGTTAAGTTAGATCAGTGTAGTCAGCTATAACTGTAAATCACATCTCTTTACATACTCGAGTTTCCATTTAAATATGCCTTGAAAATCCATGTCGTAATGTGTTCATTTGAAAGTAAACTTATAATTACTGATCATTTGAAAGTCAAGTTCAGGTGAGATTTGGTACACCTAGGATGCCTCGGGGGTGAGTAAAACGCAGCCTAATTTTCATTTTTGGGTGAACTAACCCTTTAAGTGTTTTTTTTTTTGTGTGTGCAAAATACACAAATACATGTTCATAACAGTGCATCATGGTCTTAATCGTATTTTTCATATAGTACTACTTAATATAATATCGTATTTATTCATAATAATAGATTTAGCAATCATTTAAGACTTTTTTGTTTTAGTTTATTATAATTTGCGTGAGTTCCCAGGTTTTTGTATACAGTGGAATCCAAAGGTCTAGTGATAATGCTTTTATTTTGTATTTGCATTTTTTATTTTAAATGTATTTTATTTCTTTCATTTCAAATTGTATTATCAGCATACCAATTTGAGTGAAAAGTTTAACTGAAAACATTCCATAAATTTCAGAATGTTGCAATATTTTATTTGCCCCCTTTTTGCTTTAAAGGGATAGTTCACCCAAAAATGACAATTCTGTCATCATTTACTACCCCCCTCAAGTTGTTCCAAACCTGTATAGTTGATTTTTTCTGTTGAACACAAAAGAAGATATTTTGAAGAATGTGGGAAATCAAACAGTTGCTGGTAGCCATTGGTTTCCATCATTCTAATTTATTGAGATGCACCTGTATATATATATATATATATATATATATATATATATGGAGATGAAGTATTACTTTGTTTAAATTGTTGTTTTATATAGATCACAGAGTCTATATATTATCTATTAAATTTAAATGCCGTGACTGACCAATCAGAATGAAGTGTGTAATAAATTAGAATACCATACCACACATACTAAATTCGACCAATCAAATCTGTTTTTACGTGAGATGTGTAATACATTTGAATAGCACACATAATAGCTTCTACCAATCACATCTGTTTTGATTTCTGTGTAATGAAGTTCTGTACACAAGCAAGCAATAGCTTTGAGAGTCAAGAGCAATGAGTTTAATTTCAGATGTTCATTGCAGGATGGACTGGCACAAACGAGCGCACGTTCATCGCAGTGAAGCCAGACGGAGTTCAGCGCAGACTGGTGGGTGAAATCATCCTCCGCTTTGAACGCAAGGGTTTCAAACTGGTCGGCATGAAGCTCCTGCAGGTGAGAGCACCACTGGAGCATCTTTCACATAATATTCACCTAGAGAATATATCATCTGTATTAATATAAATGTGTGTTTACGCCTGTAGGCATCAGAGGAGCAGCTCAGACAGCACTACAGGGACCTGAGGGAGAAGCCATTCTACGGTGGCTTGATCAAATACATGAGCTCTGGACCCATTGTTGCAATGGCAAGGAACACAGTGCCTCCATATTGGTCCCAAATATGAGTTCTGTAATTATGCCTCATCTAAAGACTTGTAATGCTATGTCACACTTACGTGTGTCTATCTGCATATGTTTTAATTAGGTATGGCAAGGGCTGGATGTGGTAAAGACTGCCAGAAAGATGCTTGGAGAGACAAACCCAGCAGACTCTCTCCCTGGCACTATCAGAGGAGACTATTGCATTGAAGTGAGCAGGTTAGTTTGTGTTTTAAACAGTATTTATTTAGATGGACTGTAAAAATTGTTTTTTGAAGTTGAAAATTAAACAAACAAAAAAGTTTATTGAAGAAAATACTTAAGTCTTTCTACTTAAAAATGTCATGTTAAATTCAATGTTACTTGCCATTTCTTTGTGAAATTTGTTAAATTATTAGCACTAGAAAATAGTTTCAAAGTAAACATTTTTCCAGTGTTTATAGATTTGCAGTATTTTTGATTGACTCGTCTGTGTTGCATGAATTCATTATGGTTGTATTAACATGAATGCTTGTTAAATAGTTTTTTCTTGTTGGCAGGAATGTGATTCACGGCAGTGATTCAGTTGAAAGTGCTCAGAGAGAGATCTCACTGTGGTTCAAGCATCATGAGTTGTTCTGCTGGGAAGAATGCAATGAGCACTGGATCTATGCTTGAAACCCACATGTAACACTCACACACTCATCGTAACATAGCTTCTGCAGCTTCATCTGCTCCTCTCAAGAGAAAACTCTGCTCATGCCATAAAGTGACCAAAAAAAATAAAACAGGAAAAGCTAGATCGTGTTGTCAAGGTAACCTGCATTTGTCCCTGATATCCAGTTATTGGTCATGCTATATTGAATGTAATGGTTTTTTTACTGCTTTCTTTGTAAATGTTTAATCTTCACAGATATTCACTTCATTACTAATCTTTGGTAGGTTGGTAAGCCATGCATTACTCTTTAAGATGTTTTACTTGAGGTATTTACATCCAATCAAAAGAAGTGGTTTACATTTTTACCTCCAGCTTTTGACATGGATATGCTTTTTGTCATTTTTATGCACTCTGTAAAAAAATACATGTATTAATCATGACTCAAAAGGAAAGCAATAATGAATGACAAAGGGCCAGCATATTCTGAAAAACTGACTTGAATATCCCAGTAATACTTTGTCTTACTCTAGTGCTTGGAACTCAGTTGACCAAAGGGCACCTTACTTTACAAATATTATTCCTTTGTTCATTATTTTGTGTAGACTATTATAAAAATTTGGGTTTGCTAAGTTTTTTAATTGTTTGCAAAAAGTATGTCTCGTGCTTATTAAGGCTGATTTTATTTGATTGTGAAATATTACAATTTAAAGTGTTTTTATTTTAATATGTTATATAAAAAGGTATTCCTTTGTTATTGTTTAGAATTATTTATAATTTATTTTCTGCTCAAGAAACATTTCTTATGTTGAAAACTGTTTTTGCTGTTTAATGTTTTGTGTGAAAACCAAGATTTTTTTCAGGATTCCTTGATAAATATAAAGTTCAAAAGAACAGCGTTTATTTGAAATAGAAATCTTTTGTAACAAATGTCTTTCACTTTAGTTCAATATTGATCAATGCGTCCTTGAATAAAGGTATTATTTTCCTTCAAGGAAAAAAAATATTGGTAGTGTATTTTCCATTAAATATTTAGTGTATAAAGTGTAAATGTGTATAACGTATTGCTCTACCTACTAATTCAAGGAAAAGACCATTAAGTTATGATAGCATTTCTACAAATGATGGCGCTGAAGACAGATGTATTCAGCACATAAACATGTTTATTTCTTAATACTTAACCACACAGAGAACACAGAGTGATGATTTACAAGGCGACTGGGACGACCATCTCTTCCAAACCTCGTCCAATCAAATGCTTCGGTTTAGCTGTTAACCTCATTCTTAATCCCAAAGGGAATTTAGCAGTGCTAGTCAGCACACATCTCACTGAGGTTGAAAAATGGATAGCTGCAAATGGTTGAAGTGATTTTGAGCTTTTTAAATCAGTTTTGTTGAATATTCTTTTACATATTTACTTAATGAGCTGAAATGGCATTGGGACATATTTGGGTTGTGCTAGATAGCCAACAAATCCTGACCACTTATTTGATTATCCTCAAGTATTCACTCTTATTTCTCTCTGCAGTCCATGATGCTTTCCAGTATTTACATATTGAGGTTTTGTTTGCATTTTCCCTCTTGTATTCCATTACACATCTAGCTGGTTCTTCCAAAATGAATCCTCTCATCTCTGAAGTCACTTGAGGTCATGATGAGTTCCTGTCATTCAGTGAGCTGTGTGCTGACGGACTGCAAAAATAAAGGTCAGGGTTTTTGGCAAAAACTGGGCAGTTCTTTCAGGAACATAGTTTGGTACTGGATTTAAACTGTTTATATTTCATTTAAAATTGCTATTCAGTCATAAGATGCAGGAAGTTCTTGAACTTTGTGTGTTTTTGTTGGGAAGGGAATGTTATAAGGTGGATTGAAGGATCGTACAGGTAGTTATAATTGAGGGTAGGAAAATACAGGCTAACGGGGTGAATATAAGACTTTGAAGGGGTAGTTACAAGGCTGTGGTAGGTACATAGCTTAGGTACACAATTCGGGGCATAGTTACAGAAAGGATTCATACTTCGTCTTTGGGGGCGGACTTATAGGGCGGAAAGGGGGACAGGCAGGAGGCGTCTGTTCATGTCACTCCGGACCATAAGACACTTGCCACACAATGATATGACTCCTCTCTGCTTTAGACAACGCTGGCTTCATCTGAGGAGCTTCACCATCTGCTTCCTCTGTCTCATCTTCCCCATCACCTGAGAAAAGAGAATGAGTAAATGCTATTAATGGTTATATGACCAAACAAACATGCTAATTTAGTCTATTTATTTTTTCTCACCGATACGGAAGTCAATATAACCCTCTCCTCCACTCAGCACCAGCACGTTCTGAACGCTCTGTGCTTCTGTGTCTGTCGGGGCTGAGGACCCCTGAGACTCTGACGGACTGTCCAACACGCTACCATTCAGGGTGGCCAACACATTGCCTGAAAACAACATGAGATGCATGCATGTTACTGTTATATATTATATAATTATGTCTAAAATATTCTTATATAAATATATTTTATAAATATGTCTAAAAATACATGTAAAAATATATATATATATATATATATATATATATAAATATATAAATATATATATAATCCTCACATATTTAAAATTGACACTAACCTGGCACTGACACGAAGAACTTGACTGCATCTCTGTGTCCATGGAAACAGAGTTGAGCCTGTGCCATAGAGCAGTATGGTATGAAGCTACTCTTCTCAGAGTTACTGTCATCTGCATATACGTGGATCACGCCCCCCGATGATGTGGGTGACACCTTATTGGCTGCAAGAGAACAGAAACCACCAATCAGAAAGTGTAACGACCAAAGGCCGAAACTCACAGGGACTGCCAGTGCTTAAATAAATGAAACTGCTGCAGAGAAAAACAGTGTAATAAAGAGATCAAAGCATGCAAAAATAGCCACAGATATTCAAAAAGACAAAAAACATGAAAAAAAATGAAACGCAGTTAACATAATGAAGATTAATTAAAATATGCTAAAACCACTCACAAAAATAATCTATTGAATGATGGAGTGAATGAAAAAAGACTGAAGTTACTGCTTTTTTTAGATTGTTGAAAAAACTATTTTTTTTTGCAAGGTTAATATATTTTTCTGATAAACATGTATATGTAGATTTGTATGACTCCACTCCACTCAAAATAACATTGAAAAAAATGAACACAAAATAATGGGGATAGTAGGACAGAGGTAATTTATCCATGACCAAAACATGCTAAAACCACTTTAAAAAAAAAAAGTTTAGTAAACAATGAAATATAAACGAAAGAAGACCATGGAGTACCCAAAATAAGTGAGATGTGACATGATAAGAATGACAGTTGTAACACTCCACACTTACCCCTCAGTCCGAGGAGCTGCCCTCGATGAAGCACTACGGCTACAGGAAGGAGGAAGTGGGAAGGGGAACAAGGCAGGACAAGAGAGCAACACTCATGAGACGAAGCAAAAGAGGGTAGTGGTACAATAGAGAAAAAGGAAGAGGAGAAAAGCTAGAAAGGAGATGACAAGAGGAGGCACAAGGTTTGTTGGGCAATTAATGGATTAAGGAAGTTGACTTAGCGGTTAATTATCTGGGATAAAGACATTAAAGTTAGCAGGTTAATCCCAGGGTGGTGGCAACCCAATGAACTCAAGGGATGGTGAGATTCAAGCCTCTTAACTAGCTTAACCGGCAAGACTTCATTGGTCAGCCAGCTACAGAATGAGCAAGAACAAGCTGGTTGACCACCAAAAGTATCACTAACCAGCATAAACCAATGACGGAGAAATGTTTTGGTTGATCAGTGAAGGGTAAGGGAAATGGTTCAGATGATCAAGGACCTTGTTAACAATAAAGTGTATGTGCATACAAATACCCCTTAGACTTTTTTTTATTTTTTTATTGCAAACAATTCAGAGTTGACATTAATGAATAACAACTTTGCATACATTACACATAATGTATCAACAATACATCCAATGTCAATACCCCTTAGACTTACTTTCAGTCAGAGGGATTGAGATGATGACACCATTTCCAGTCCCCACCCACAATCGGTTTCCTCCAATCAGCAGCGCAGTTATCCTGACAAAAGAGAAGCCCAACTTTCCTGTACCTGTCAATCACAGACAACATAGCACAACGTAAAACATTTATATTGCGACTTCTGATCTTTGATAAATATTAGACAAAATTATTCCACCAATAAATAGAATAATTACCAATAAATTAACAACACATTTAAATTTTTAAAATCTTATTTTATTACACTTAAAAAAAATTTTTTTAGTGTGCATTTTCTGTTAAATTGCTTTTATAAATCTGGTAAAATAAAACAAAATATAAAATCAAATCAAAGTAAAAAACTGCATGAGGAGGTAATTAAGACAGTACACATATAATCTCAATTCTAAACTAATCTCTACACAGAACGCTATAAATCAGAAGTGTTGAAGTCACAGCAACAAAGTGAGAAGTGTTACCCAGCATCTTGCTGACATAAGGCTCGATATCCACATCTTGCAGATGCTGATGTGTGTGTGCGTGGTACAAACGGAGTGTAGAATCCAACCGGATTGAAACCCAGACACCATCACCAATCCATGCCAGCTGCCTCACCTGGCTCTCCTTGCGTGGGTGAGCGTCAAATGATTTCTATATGAAAGAGAGAGAAACATCAAATCAAGTCCCAAGACAAAGATTATGATGAAGACATAACATTCACTTTCTGAGACTGGCCTCAATCTGCATGCTCTTGGGCTGGATCACATGGATCTTGTTCTTGTTTCCACACCAGACTTTGTCATGAACCACAGCCATGCATCGGATGGAGTGGTGGGGTCTTCCCAGATCCATAAGATGATAGTTAGATAGATCCCATTGTCCATCTGTGTTTACATTTCACATTTGTTATTGTAATATGCATAAATGAAAAATATTTACACCAAAACTATTTTAACAAATAACTTTTTTTTTTCATTTTCTCATTAGTTTAACATTAGAAAGATGAAGCAAACCTTCAGCTCTGTGGAAGATTGCAAGAGTTCCATCAGCTAACGCAACCAAAACTCTCCCTTTCACATGTCTAAAACACAAAGAGTCAAAATTGGAAATTATTAGTATTTTTCATATAACTGGTGTTACTTGTTATCAGTCTTTTTATATACACTACCATTCAAAAGTTTGGGGTCAGTACACTTTTTTTTTTTCTTAAAGAAATTACTACTTTTATTCGGCAAGGATGCATTAAATTGGTCAAATGTAACAGTAAAGACTTTACAAAATATTTCTGTCAAAAAATGCTTTTGAACTTTCTATTTATCAAAGAATCCTGACAAAATATCATGGTTTACACAAAAAAATATTAAGCAGCAAAACTGTTTTCAAGTGTGATAAAAAGAAATGTTTCTTGAGCAGCAAATGAATGATAAAGACTTTACAAAATATTTCTGTCAAAAAATGCTTTTGAACTTTCTATTTCTTATCATGACAAAATATCATGGTTTACACAAAAAAATATTAAGCAGCAAAACTGTTTTCAAGTGTGATAATAAGAAATGTTTCTTGAGCAGCAAATGAATGATTCTGAAAGATCATGTGACACTGAAGACTAGAGTAATGATGCTGGAAATTCAGCTTTGCCACCACAGAAGTACATTTTAAAATGTATTAAAAACAATTATTTTTAAAAATACAATATCGCTGTTTTTACTGTATTTTTGGTCAAATAAATTCAGCCTTGGTGAGCGTAAGAGACTTCTTTCAAAAACATTAAAAACCGACCCCCAACTTTTGAATGGTAGTGTACATACTTCATTAGGATTCTACTTACACCAAACTCAGTACAGAGTCTTTGAGTTTGATAGAATGGAGGCATTTCTTCCAGTTGGCCACTGCAGAGTGGACATAAAGCCTGTGGACAGAGTTTACAGAGACTTTACAGAGTATTTTACATGGTGCATATAATATTTGAGATGGAATTATGACTTAAGAATGTGAAAATGCCACTGAAGGTGTGATGCCAACCAGCCATTTTGGGCTCCCAGCCACATGGTTGGGGCAGCACTTGTTCCCGCCCGGTCGTCTCCTGCCTCTTCTGAGTCTGTGGGGGCTGATGTCACTTGCTCCTTCGGCACACCTGCTTCACTGATGGCACAACACGCAGAGCAGACCATTTAAATTCAGCACACATACCTAAATCATTTCCTAACGTATTCAGCAAATAGAAAACCGCCCTTTTGCAGTGAGAAAAACAGGATTGGTTTAGAAAACTCTATAATTTTTGTGCATAAACCTTAATGAAAGCATTTGGTAGGCACTTTAGTTTAGTAGGCTATATGTGAGGTACCTGTGTGTGTTGTCAGTAAAGACATGCTCGGTGAAAGGTCCGAGTGTGCTGTCCTCATTCTCATTAGGCCCTGCCTCCTCAGACACCTCAATGGCTTCTGTGGCTTCCTCCGCAGACTGTGACACTGCTAGGCTTCTGCACACTGGAGCTGTAGGAGCTAAACACGAAACATATGATGAACACTATGTAGTCTCAAAGATTCCTAACATACATTTTCAGTCAGTTTGCTGACCTTGGCTTCGGTCCTGCACAGGTGTGTCGGTGCGAGAGGAGCAGTTGCTGCGCACTACGCTGCAGTTAGTGGCACAGCCCACGATGGTGATCCCCGCCAGCATGCCCTCCACTCCACCCTTCTCCTCTGAAGGCCCATCTCCAGCCTGCTGCTCCAGAAATATCTCACCTGCTGGGTAATCGCTCTCACTGGCCGCTACACACACACACACACACACACAAAAAAAGCACAAGTGACAGTTAACACATCTTTTACAGTGTCTGTTACAATTGAGAGTGTAGTTATTTGTATATAGCACTACACAAACCTGGTACACTGGAGATGCACAGCACATGGGCATTACACACATTAAACTGGTCGACCAGTGAGCAGGGCTGGTTTGCGTCGATAATCACCACTTTACTGGCTGAATGAGTGCTGGTCAGAATCCACACGCGGCTGCTCATGGAGTCAGTCTCATGCAGTTCTTTAGGCTAAAAGAGGGAGAAATACCAATGTTTAGACTCTAGCTAATTCAATTTAGAACTCTGATGTTTGAAATTCACTTCCAGCATTCATTTACTTAAAGAAAGAAAGGGAAGCAACGGCAGTAAAATGTAAAAGATGTACAGTGAGGTCCAAAAGTCTATGACCCCTTCTGATCTAGTGACTAGCAAATAAAAAAATTATTATATTCAATTTTAGATTTTGAAAAGTAATAAAATTGACTAAAATGTTATTATAATCTACTGATATCTACTGATTGGCTTCATCACTCTGTCTCCTCTCCACCAATAAGCTGGTGTGTGGTGGGCGTTCTGGCGCACTATGGCTGCCGTCGCATCATCCAGGTGGATGCTGCACACTGGTGGTGGATGAGGAGATACCCCCTGACAATGTAAAGCGCTTTGAGTGCCAAGAAAAGCGCTATATAAATGTAATGAATTATTATTATTATTATTATTATTATAAGCAAGGCAAATAGAGTGAAAAATGTACCTCAAAAATTAGCATAAATTTGAAAATTTGTGGTTTGTCTCCCTTCTGCTTTAATCAATGTCACAAATTTGCTTATTTGAATTTCTTTACATTCTTTACTTTTACATTCTCTACTTTAACTTTCTGCTTTTTTCCAGGTTTAAATTGAATTGAAATTAAATGTTTGATGTGGTCTCAGACTTTCAGAACCTTCTTCAAAGGTTTGGAGTCAGTAAGATTTTTTTTTACATTTCTCAGAGACGTCTCTTATGCTCACCAAGGCTGCATTTATTTCACTTCAAAAAAATAAATAAATAAATAAAAACAGTAAAATTGTGAAATATTATTACAATTTAAAAGATCTGTTATCTATTGTAATATATTTTTAAATATCATTTATTTCTGTGAAGGCAAAGCTGAATTTTCAAGGCAAGGCAAGTTTATTTATATAGCACATTTCATTTTTCAGGATTCTTTGATGAATAGAAAGCTCAAAATAACTGCATTTTTTAATTAAAATATTTGTGACATTATAAATGTTTTTACTGTCGCTTTTTTTTTGCTTACGGATCCCAATTTTTCTGTTTATTTTGAACATCTCTTCCAAAAGTGTAGGTTTATTTTCTTGTAATTTCATGTGTTTTATTCTTGTTTTTTTTTTTAAGGCCGTTTACCTTCTTTTTCTCTGGTGAGCTCTGCTCACTCTTGCTGTCTCCGCCTTCATCTTCAGCAGTCAAAGGATCTGAGCCATTGGACAGCTTCACAGCTGCAGTCTCCTGATTGGGTGTCTTCCAGCCAGTGAGATCCACACCAGCAGCACACCATAGCTAAAGAACAAGAGTCTGAGTTCATAACTTCAAACCCTCAAAACAAATAGCCTGTAAGCATGTGTGTATCTTTTACCTTCCTGTTGGGGTCTTTCTCAACTAGAGGGCGGCAGTAAACTGGCACAGGGACATTTTTCATGCGATTATCCTCTTTCTCATTGGCCTGTGAGGACACAGGAAGACAGTGATGTTCACAAGGCCTTTATCAATAAGATCACTGCCACACACTACAAGCAGAAAATGCCATACTCAGAGCTCCCATCATGCCCTGGTTAAGATTGCCTTGATCCAGGGCAGACAGAGAAAGGGGAAACCAAGAACAGCAAACCAGAGCAGCAGATCAAAGTCTGTTAGAGGGCTACAAGGCAGACGCATGCGCAATGACAGTCAATCTACTGTATAGTCAGCAAATGCCACCGAGAGACAGAGAGAGCAGCAAATCATGATCAAGTGTTTCTAAGATGGAGGAAGGTTTGATACGGACGAGCATATCATGTTACACAACACTGACAAAATACTTTCTTACCATCTGAATTAATTTACTTTCATCTAAGACTATGTTCTCTGTATATTATTAAATATTGGAATGTGATTGTATTAAAATGAGCTTTCGTTACATTTTAGACATCTAGAATTTGTTTGAAACTGTTACCTGTTCAACTAAACTCTGCTTACATACTAGATCAGAATAACCATTTATCTTTATTATCTTTACAAAGGCAGCCCTTGTGAAAAAGAATTACACTTTAGCATATTTTTAATTCATACCTTTTATTGTTTTTGAAATATGGTTAAACTATTCTGCCAAACGTACTGACAAGCAGGTATGGCAAACTATAAACTAAATGTTAAATATGCTTAAATATAATTTCTACTGAAACCTGTGTGTCATGTATTTAAATATATTTGCAATTTCACATTTGTAATGACGAAGTTGCCATTTAGTACATTTAAAATATATTAACATGAAATGTATTACTGAATAACACACTACAGTTAGAATTATAATCAAGTACTTCACATGTGCTATAGTAGACAGTCAAAATAAGTGTATGTCTTTAAAGCACAAAAAAGATTATTAAAATGATTTCAAATGTACTTTAAAGTAAAACTTTTAATACACATTTAAAAGAGTACTTAAGTGTGCCAAGAAACAGTCATGAAAGTGTACTCTCTTTATTAAGTACACTATTACACCTAAGTAGCCTTTTTTTAATTGTGAATATTATATAATCTGTAAGTTCAGTTTTTTTTTTTTAAATATACTTTTTCACAAGGGACCAAACTATTTAAATTAAATTGTAATAGTAATCAATTATGGCCATTGAATTGCTGACTTTATTAATATGTAAAATGTTGAACGGAAAGAAATATATATTTTAAACCTATTGCCTATTACATGAAATCATAACATATGGCATATATGAGCTTTTTAAATTTCAGTTAATTAGTTAACATATAGCTAGTTAATTTTTTTAACATAATTTAATGTAACATTATTAAAAAGCTAAATAAAGTGAAATTTAGCAGAAAGGTGGCCTTTTCACACAATATAGTAATATTATAAAAAGTTTTGTCTTATTTAGTCAAAATCCAAAGGTACTCTTACAAAACAGTACTTTGGTGATACCATGGTACAACAGTGGTATCAGATGGTAATACTATGGTATTTACTACTCGAATATACTATTGCATATCAAATGCTGAATGATTACCATATTCACGGACCACTGTATTTGAATTACAAATTGATACATGGTACTACATTTACATTTCAGGTTGTCTTGCAATAATGCTGACTTATAAATTATGATGACTGGCACAGTTATATCCGTCTAGGTTGTATGTGACTGTAAAATCAGCAAAATGTCTAAAATGCAGTAAATATTGTGTTAACTTGATAGTGTTAGCAAAACAATCGGAAAGCATGACGACACCTACTGTATAAATACCAGAGGTTTCATTCCTAAAGATATATTCAACTTGGCAAAGACGTTATTTTCTGCTATATCAGTTTTCTGCTGCGTCTACGCTATGATTTGCTGACCGAGGCTGAGCCGGGTTAGGGCCGGGATTTAAAGGGACAGGGTGGGAGAGGTGCATGCTGGTCCTCTGCTGCTCAGACTTGCCTGCGTCCTCTTCGCTGTGGCATCTTGAGCGCTGTCCGCCTGGGAGCCGTTCTGTGGGAGATCACAGTTAGAGCCACGGCGTCACTGTCACCACGGCAACCCTGACAAACACACGGTCACCGTGGCAACCCTAACACAGTTGCCACTCCAGAAACCAGCACAACGTGGACTAGTTAACTAGTCCCATAAAACAAAACAAAAAAACAATTCCAGACTAACCAGTGCCATTACTAAGACAATGGCAACAAGCACACAGTCATGGCTATGTTGCTGTGTCACACACGCGAGAATTCAGATGGATGATGTGGCACCGAACATGTTAAACCATTTATAATCGTTAAAAAAGAGGTGCCAAGTTGTTAGCAGGACAAAACGCAAAACAGCTTTACAGCAAAATGAGCAAAGATAGTAAGCAAACATTCACTTTTCTGTCTCTCTTATATAGTGTTGGGAAGCCTAAACTATTTTAGCAAAATAGTTGCACGGTTCTTTTATTTGAAAAATTAAAATGTTCATATTTACCTTTAATTTATTTTATGTTTTTAAATTCATTTTAGTGCTTCAGCTTATTTATTTAAAATTATTTTATTTCAGTTAGTTGCCAAGGCAACATTCCAAATGTCTGTCTTTTATAATAATTTATAAAAAGTTTATACTGTATGCTTTATACTTGGTGCATTTGGGTCCATATTTACTTTATTTTTTCTCTTCTATTTGACTTCCTGACAAAACAGAGCCACTTCAGTTTTTAGGTGGATATAAAAATCTTAGAGTTCAAGGGTCAAGGGTCAACATAAGGGCAGATACCTGTTTCAATCGGGACGGGACACTCCAGCCACAGGTCTGCATGGGGCCGTCCTTCCGGCGCATGTGCTCGCGCACCTGCCGGTACTGCTCTCGACGCTGCTCTCTGCGTGTACAGAGCGCAGAATCGCTGAGGAGAGACGCAACACCATTACTGGGCAGTCTACAGGGCAAAGAGAAAGAGAGAGGGAGCAGTCAGCGAAGGAGCAAGAGAACCAGCCAGCCAGCCCAGGCCAAAAAGAAATGCCAGACACACTGCGTCATGTGTTATATTTCATTTACATTTATGCATTTGGCAGGTGCTATTTAATGCTAATGGAGTGCGAGGGAAGCAGACTTAAAAAAAGAATATTTGATATGTATATGTTGATGTGATCTGATGTTTTAAAATGTTAATGTGTAAAAATGTTCTGACGAATAAAACAATGAATGCATAAAATATTTACATTTATTCATTTGGCAGCAGTGTTACTATTCTTTACTAAAACTATTAAAAATCATTTTCGTTAATTGAAAAAGCTGAAATAAAGTAAAATATTTTATTAGATGAAAAACCTAAAAAAAAAAAAAACTAACTTAAAAAAACAAAACTTTAAAAAACTAAAGGTAAAATGAAAATGATTTCACCTAAAAAGAAATATAAAGCAAAACTAAAATGAAACCTGAAAATATAAAAATAAAAGCTAATTAAAAATATAAATAAATATTCTAACCATTTATGAATAATACTAAAATAACATTTTTATGGCTTTATCTAAAAATAATACAGTTATCATTATGCATGATCCCTGAGAACTAAACCCCACAACCTAAATTAAGTATTAAATAAATGCTAAAAATTCTAAAAATGCAGGTTTTCTTTTAGAGATAATGTTAGAATTAGTCTGTAGTTTTTATTATTAGTTTTATTTAAAGCAATAGAAGCCTATGCTATTTTCTTGGATAGCCCAAGTAAACGTGTGAGTGAGTGTGCAACAGCTAACAGTCAAATGCCGCATTAGCACACAGCATTTAGCAGGAGTCAGCTTGCCTGAGCAACAGAAAGAGAGAGAACAGACATGAGGGACAGAGGAAGAGGGAGGACAAACAGACAGCTACAATGTGTGGATGAGGATGTGAGGACAGATGGGGCAAAGACACAGTCAGGTATGCATGTTTCCTCTCACTCTTCAGGCATGAACTCCAGTATGCAGCTGGAGGTGGAGATCTGGCACATGGTTTGGGAGCGTCTCTGGTTGTAGCCAGCAGGAGAGGGAGACTTGTAGTGAATGTTGACACTGGTGTACAGCCGTTTCACTGGAGGAGGGCTCGCAGATGAACTAAAAAGGCGTGCAAAGCTGGAGAAAGACACAGAGCAAAGTGAGCTGGTAAAGGAATAGGAAAACAGGTCAAATGTAAATGATACAATTAGTAATAAAACTACTTGAACATCATTAAGATATTTCAGGTGTGTTAAATCATTCCCCTTTCTTACATACTGATTTAAGAGTTAAAAACAAAAACAAAATGTCTAAATCTGCTGGAATACTCACAACTGCCAGATTATGGACTTCTTTTTCTCTGGTAGAGGACTCTCTCGAGATGCCCTGTGGAAGTGAAATAGACAAAGTGAAAATGAAGCCTGCACTGTAAAATAAGTTTTTACATAAGACTGTAAAAATGCTAGAGTGAAAACCTGTTTATTGGCTAACCGTACGTTACCGTATATATAGCGTTGACAATTGTAAATCTTTTGAAATAGCATTATATATAATTTTACTGTAAAAAAAATGTTGGAACTAAAAAGTATAAATTAACATGTAACTTACAGCTACAATTAATACAGTACTCAACAAGAAAATGCATGTACTTTTAAAGTAAATTATTGTAAAAAAAAGGTCTCAGTTAGCTTAACGCAGTACATGTAGCAAGGGTTTTTTGTTGGTGTTGTTTTTTTAAATTATATAATAAATAAAAAGAAAACAGATAGGCTAGAAAAAGAATAGAGAAAGCTAGTGTTAGAGACCCTTTTTTTGCTTTTGTTAATTGTATAATAAATAAAAAAGAAAACAAATAGATATAATACAAAAAGATTAGAGAAGCTAGTGTTTTTTTTTTTTTTTTTAAGAAAACAAGCAGTTAGTAAATGAATAGAGTGCAAGTCTAAAAGGGGCACTTTTTTTTTTTTAAGAATAGAATTAGAATAGAGAGTGCTTGAGTTAGAGGGTCAAATAAAGATGGAAGAGATGTGTTTTTAGCCAATTCTTGAAGATGGACTGAGTTGGGCAGGTCATTCCACCAGTAGGGAACAGTTAATTTAAAAGTCTGAGAAAGTGATTTTGTGCCTCTTTGGGATGAACAATAAAGCAACGTTCACTTCATTCAGGACTGCCCAAACTGCCTTTAAGTTTCTAGTATGCTTAGTAAGAGCTTGAATAGCTGGTTCAGGTGTGTTTATTTGGGTTGGAGCTAAACTCTTCAGGACACCGGCCCTCCAGGACTGAGTTTGGACACCCCTGCTCTAGAGGCACATAAGTCTGAAGTAATGAATTTAGGTAAAGGGGTGCAGAGCCAGTGGTGGTTTTGTAGGCAAACATTAATGCCTTGAATTTTATGCAAGCAGCTATTGGTAGCCAGTGAAAATTGATAAACAGAGGTGTTTATTATTATTAATAATAGTGTTTTGTTTTTATTTACACTACCAATCAAAAGGCTGCATTTATTTGATCAAAAACACATTAAAACAGTAATATTCTGAAATATTATTACAATTTAAAATAACTTATTCCTGTGATGTCAAAGCTGAATTTTCAGCATCATTACTCCAGTCTTCAGTGTCACATGATCCGTCAGAAATCATTCTAATACTGATTTGGCATTTGGGAAACATTATTATCAGTTGTGCTGTGTATGTTATCATTTATGTACATTAGAGTGTTTTGTAACATTTTATGTTACATTACAATGCATTCGTGCGTTTGTCCTCCCCTATCGACCAGGTTTTTATGAGTATTGTATTGATAAAGTAATTTAGATGTGCAAATGTCTGAGATTTTGTTTACATGCTTTGATGCCAGATAAAAGTAGTGTCTGAATCAGAGTTGATTTGGATGTGAGATTTTATGTTTATGGCTGCTTCTCCCTCACCTGATCATCTCGGTCCAGCGCACAGCTTCCTGAAGCTCCATCAGTCTTTCCTTGTACTGGTTGCGCTCCATCAGCACACGGGCCATCTCTACACGTGTGAACCGTCGTCTCTGTGTCATGGCCACATCGTCCTGCAGTGGAGATGAGTACTGCACCACAGAGCCACACAGAACAGAGCAGCACCACAAAACACGGCAGCAGTGAAGCGAAGGTTAGTGCATCAGGCCTTCAGCATTTCACAGCATCAAATATAAGGTTACTAAAACATTGTGAGAAGGTTATAGGTTCACTGCGCATAGCATTTTAATTAAAAACTGTTAGAGCATAACAAAGCAAGGCCTGTAGAAGTGATTGGTAATAAAGTTTCTCATGTCTAACCACTGACTGTGGTTACAACTTGATTTAATGTTACACTTTAAAAATCAAATTTAAAGGGATAGTTCACCCAAAAATGAAAAGTACCCCATGATTTACTCATCTAGGTGTATATGACTTTCTTCTTTCAGACAAATACTGTACAATGCGAGTTATATTAAAAAAGGTCCTGGCTCTTCCAAGCTTTATAATGTCAGTGAATGGCTGTTGAGATTCCAATAAAGTGCATCCATCCATCTTAAAAAGTACTCCACATGGCTCCGGGGGGTTAACAAAGGCCTACTGAAGTGAATCGATGTGTTTTTGTAAGAAAAATATCCATATTTAAAACGTTATGAAACATAATCTCTAGCTTGTTTCGTACATGCACATGAAGTGGGACGTAGGCGTAGCGCAAGGTCCGGTGAGAAGTGAAGAACGCAGAATCGCAGTGGAGAGAGCAAAACAAAACACCAGTCATGAATTAAAGGGGTGGTTCATTGCGATTTCACTTTTTTAATGTGTGTAATGTTGCTGTTTGAGCATAAACAATATCTGCAAAGTTACGAAGCTGAAAGTTCAATGCAAATGGAGATATCGTCTTTTAAAATTCTGCCAGTTTAATGCCTACAAAAACGGCTCATAGGGACTACAACAAGTTACTTCCCGGGTTCGTGACATCACAAACCCTGATAAACCCCGCCCTCTGGAAAAGGCAGCAAAGAGGGCGAGGCCATGCTGCGCTGCTTTAGAGAAGAGGAAGAGAAAACTAGAGGTGCACGTATAAAATCTATTCATATATGAATCGTGATTCTGTCTTCTAATGATTTTAAAGGATTCACAAGTTTCAAAATCAATGTTCTAAAGCAGCG